ATTGGACTTGGATGATGTTATTTGCACATTTGCTGATCTCAAATCAAGAAAAGTTAATTTTTAATTATTGTTATTTCTGTAGTTACCTATCATAAATAATGTTATCAATCTATTATAAAAATATACAGCAATTTAATCATAGATAATATATACTTGTGTTTGGTGCTTTGGTGCAAAATGGTTATGTGAGGTACTGCGGTAAAGGTAATACTGTAATAGGTAAAAATACTTTACATATACTGAATAAGGGTGCCCGCAAAAATGTAAATGAGAGTATGAATTTTTTTTTTGTGGGCCCCGCTAAAAGAGTTTTGCCCCGGGCCTCGCAAATTGTAGGGACGGCCCTGCAGTCAGTACTATTTCGTTTTAATATTATATACAAACAAATATTTGATAGTATTAAATTTCATTTATTAAACTTTTCCGAGAATATTTTCATTTGTTAGATTTTTACTCAGAATCGTATTTTCTTTTGTAAGTTATAATATTACAATATTTAAGTACAAAATAAAATGTGATTCCAAGTAAACCAAATTTTAAAAATGAAAATATTTATTATTTTAAGAAAAGAAAATGTAAAAAAAAAAAAGATATTCTACAATATAGATAGGTAGTGGAACATTTGAAACATGTTATTATTTAAAGATTTATAAATGATCAAGTACTTATATCACCTGCACCTATATCACCTGTATATATTTTTCAAATATTTCAAACTAATAATTTTTTTTAAATATAATTATTATTTTTAATTTAAGTAATACCTATTAATGTTTATATATCTTTTGTTACTTATGTTACATATATTGTATTTTTATTTTACCGAATATTGAAGTTGTAAATAAACTAAAAATGTTCACATGCCGCGAAACTCACAACCATTTATAAACCATGCGTTATTTGGCGTTATTCACATTATATTAGTAAAAATATTAAAAATTATATATTATTATGATGGATTTTGAATATGCACCTATGTGCGATGTGCATATTTTTCAAGACGAATGCACCAGATTTATCTCCTAATAGAATAACTATATAGGTAATGTGTTAGTTTTAGGGGACGAAAAAACTCAAAGCGGATCGGCGCCGCTACCGTTACCATACTCGCCATCACCTCCGTGAACACGTTTTACCTGATTACCGGTATTCTGTGATAGTTTTCCGTCGTGGTGGTAGTCGATGCTGCAGCGAGTCATTGAATCCCTAGAGTCGCTAACGTCCTGTAATTTGGTTAAAAAATTCAGTTTAGTTACCACAATCGCAAAATATATAGTGGAATACGATAATAATAAATCAAAAACACACTATAAAGTATAGAGGTACAGGAACTTCCATAATAATTCAAAACCTATAATGGTGAAAGGGGCGGATCCAGGGGTGCCGAGTGATGATCCCCCCCCCCGTAGACTGCTGAATTCTAGAATGTACGTTTTCGGCGGGCTGATAAAATACATTGTCTTGCCGATTGCGAAATTTTATTTAAGATGCCCCCTCCTCCCCCTCCCAGGCCTCCCGCCGTAAATCTATACAGAGTCCGCGCCTGAAGTCTGGGTTAGRGTATGCGAAATGCGAATATAGAAGGACTCGACACACCGGATTGTCAGTCATGATGTGCTATGGTATACCAGTTCTTTCCTATACAATACTTAAAAATTACCAACGGGTGTTCGTCATTTTTTTTCTCTTTCATTACGATTATTTCCTAATTAAAACGAACCGCACCTGTAATGGAGAACTAGTATTGCTGTACGACATTTGAGAGTCCGTGTCGTCAGTGTCGAAACCGACCGATGACGATGTTCTGCCGCCGCTCCTGTCCCTTCGCATCATCGACCTGCATGTACCAGACGTTCAATGTTAATGGTTCGTTCTGCTTAGTATTTAACTCTGAATCAAATGTGACGCGAATTACTTGTTTTGCCGCAGGTCGTTCTGTTCCACCAACAGCTGAGCTTGGCGATTCTTAAGGGTTTCTAACTGTTGTTGAACCGTCTGGTCATCTTGACTGCTCTGGTCCAGCTCCTCTCGGCGATCGTTGACTGCCTTCAGTTCGTCAGCGATCTGATCTAAACGTTCCTGCAAAAACAACACATCCAATCAATTATAATATAATGTAGATGGAGATGTATATTATATTGTTGACGATCCCGCGAATTCACCCAGTAATCTTGTGATAAAAAGACAAAACAATCAATTGGTATCGATATCACATAATATTGAGAAGTCTCTACTTAAAATCGAAATCATATCATATATTTTATAATACCTACACGATTACATACGATATTCCTACTGAATCAATACGATGTGCATTTTATATAGGTATGTTTAGACAATATTATACAAATATAAAAAAAAATACAYAATTCATCAAATGTGTGTTGCRTACAAAATATAATGTATGCCACTTAACCTGTATAGTATTTTAATAATTTAATAGCGCAGTTTATACTAATCTTTCAAGTAGGTATTGATTTTATGGGAGTTGTCAACAAAAATGTATTTACCTGTCGCCGAATTTTTAGTAGCTCGACGTTATCGTCCAGACGGAGCCTCTTCGACCCGTAACTACAGTCGCCATTTGAAGTCAACCCTCCAAAACTCTGCAGCATGCTTGACCTGTTTTGATTTAAAGATTTTTAATTTAGCATAACCCTAAAAAACCTTAATAAAACTTGAATTAAATTAAATTTGTTTTAATACGAATTTTGTTGTGGATTTCTTTGCAGGGGTATGAAATAAAAATCAAATAATATATTTTTTTTGTTAGTTCAATATTTAGATAAAATTAGTTTACTTGGAATGCCCTTTAGAGTAATGGTATCCCGAGTCACGGACTACTTGTCGGGCTAAAGGGAACAATTCATCTCGTCTAGTCAACAGAACAGGCACTAATTTGCATATCTGTGCGGCAGCCTCGTTTACGGACACCTGTGGGTTTGTAAACATCGTTTATAAACTCGCATGGAATAAGGTACATTTTAATGTAGTTCATTATTTAGATTTTTTTTTTAAACAAAAAATATGTTCTGTATCATTATTTTACAATATTTGTCATTGATGTACGAAGCGTTTTTGGACACTCATATTATGTCGCTAAATGATACATAGTTCATACGTATACCTATTGTATATTTATAATAATAATACTTAGTCAGTTTATTAACCTCGTGCAATGTTAATGGTTTTTCTGGTTTTCTTTTGCAATCAAAYCGTCCGTAAATAGCAGAATACTTCCTAATGGATTCTATGCGCCTCGGATCTTCTTCCGGCATGTTCATGACGCACTGTAAAACCAATGCATATTATAAAATATGATACGACAACTACATATTATAATAATCTATGTTTCATCCTGCAGTGTTAGTTAAATAGATCAGGTAATCAAGATAATGGTGATTTTATAATAAATTACAAAAAATTACCATCAAAGATTAGGTTCCCTAATCAGTTTTTTGTACAATTWTATATTTATTACGTAGAATTTCCCTGTACCGCTAAACCACCCATTTAAACATCGAGTTAAGACTGAAGGGAGCTCTATAGTTTATGTTGTAAACCGTTTGTTAGACTTCGAGCATAATCTTTTCAAAATTTATTTGAGTTACACATAGGGTGGTGATACCGTCTATACCAGCGGTTCACCAATTTTTTTTTGCCACGGAACTATACCAATAGGTCAGCGTGCGAACAACGGCGGCGTGGTTGTGATTCTTTTCTACATAATTTTTGTTTAATTTTAGGTCGGAACGCGGAACCCTTGTAGCCCTTCCACAGAACCCCAGGGTTCCGCGGACCACCAATCGGGAATCCCTGGTCTATACTCTGTCCAGCTAAATAACGCGACTCGGGGCTGACCAAAATTGGTCTTTCTGCGCATACCACGTGACACCATTCCGTAGGGATACCGGTTTTGATAGGCAATATTAGTTTAATAAATAAAAGTTTACTACCTAGATATTATTCAAATTYTATACAATCTATTGTTTTTATTTATAATTATTAATGCTGATCTGTTTTTTAATTACATGTATAATTTAGAATTGCGTTACTGTATGGTAGTGAGTTTGTGATATGTTATTTAAACTTTTTCAATAGATTGGCCAAGATGACAGTACCTAAAAAAGAATTATTATAATAGCCTCAGAAGAAATATTAACTAAATTAGTAAGTGAATAAATTACTATAAATTATTACAGTTTCACTTTCAATTTCTTCAGATTGAAAATTTGTTCACTGATTGTAGTAAAAATGGTGTAGTGTTGTAACCCTAAAATTTCACAACTAAATATGATTGTTTTGTGTTGTGATGTCGTATATACTCATGTAACAGTTCAATTGTTTTAGGTATATAATGTATATTACCTATGTATATACTTATAGGTACCATAATATATTTTTATATTCTATCGGTGAATTAAAAAATGATTTAATAATTTCACCGTCCCCTTCTAGTGAGTAAACCATGTGTAGGTACGTCTCTACATGAAAATTCATGCTCACTTCGAGTTCTTTGTTCGCCTTCCGTTTCGCTGTTTGTGCCTTGGGTTGGTACTGCGGTAGCCTTTGCACTAGTTGCTTGGCCGATGTAGCCAACCGGGCGATTTGTGATTCGTCCAGTGACGGAGACAGCTGCAACGGCGATCCTGGACTTTGGCCAGGGCTGTTACTATCACCATAGTGTTGGCCAGCCGAAGTTGTCGCTTCACTCGTTTGCGCAACCTGAAAAACACGTGTGCCATACAGGTAGGTATATCATTGATTATTTCTAAGCACAATTTATTTACACATAAACTTTACTATGCGGTGTAGGTATTAGTATTATTATACATGTTTAATGGATAGAAAACCGGTAGTTATTAATTTTAGATTCTGAACGGAATATATCGCTTTTATATGATGTGTGTGTATTTTTTTAAACGAATTTCTTGTTTGTCATCGCATTTTGGAGCAGTAAAAATGCTTTAATGTTTGAACTYCAAACAATTCAAATGATCACGAAAAATGTATGTGTGGCTTTATATTTATTTTTTTAAATTCTGATAAAAAATGTTAACTCTTAGGTATTAAAATAAAAAATATATATAAATTAGTAAACTACGAAATAATTTGTAAATGTTTGTGGTTTTGGAAAAATTTTGATAACATTTGAACTCCAAACACTGAAACGCTTATAAGGTTTGAAGAGGAATTTTGTAGGTACCTGCTTATAATATTTTGGAATTTTTGACTTATAAACAAACAACTATTTATTATATATACGATTTACATCATTTTATAACGTATAATGGTGTAGCTCTAGGTACTCAAAATCTAAAATAATAATTTAGAGATGTATAACATACAAGGCAGTATATTTATGTTATTTATGTATCCATTTAGTTTTCGACCTCGAACACTGGTATTTATAATTATACAACCTTTAGGAGGCGTGCTTTATTGTATATAATATTAATATTTACCTGTGGTAGTTGGTTGGTTGAGCTGGGTACGGGTGACGGTGACGTGGGCGGCTGGTATCCATATCCCAGTGGTGTATAGTAACCGTGGTGTATAGATGTCTGAATTAGCGGGTTCGGGCAGACGCTGAGAAACGGTCGCACCGGGTTCGGTGGCAGAGCGATGGCACTGGAACCACTGYTAGCGACAGGAGACGTCAGTGGTGCTTGGAACATGGCTACGAACAAAATCCAAGATCGAGATGAGGGAAGTTTCTATACCATAACCGTGGTTTGAATAGGTATTTTAAACGTTTGATTTATATAATATACTGCATAAGCTTTAGTGACGGCCCCATATCTGTATAGGATGACAATAACTCACTCACTATAAAATACTATATAATATTATTTTATTATATCTGCAGCTGTTGAATTAAAAATTTCACTACAATATTGTATTATTATAAAGACTGCAACTGTAGTGATTGAATAATTGTAAATTTGTAACATTGTAACATCATTTAGATATAATACTTGAAAAATGGGTACTCACATATTATTATACTTGTATTTATAAAAATATTAAAGGTTAGCTGCTGCCTGTTGGAATGTGCCCTACCAAAACCAACCTAAATTATTTATCGTGTATCCAGACGTACAATAGTATGTTATTTTATAATATAAAATACATTATACTATTATTCATAGGTAGGTATTATGTACACAATTACACAAATATACACAACATGATGATTACAAACATGCTCATAATATCCGCGGTGGAAGGATATGACGGTGCATAGATAGTATACCTAATATCTAAATGTATTATTATAATTTACGACACGTAATTTTATATGATATTCTACATAGTATTTAAACTTTCAACAGTGATAAGTTCTAAATATTTAAGTTTCATGCAAGTACTTACATCTAATAGCTTCTAGACTAAAATAAGTATTATTAAATTTGTATTAAATATTTAACGATATTAACGAATAACATCATATAATCAGAATTTCTTGATATTATACTTTAATAATACTAACAACAAATAAAATAAAAAATGTTTCGAAATTTAGTTAAATCAAATTTACGTGAGTCAAAATGTCGTATTGACTATGTAATATGAATATAACTATAATTATTTGATTTAATGTTCATATTAGTAAATAATTAGGTATTATAATTATCGTGTAATGTAACAATGAAATATTCAATAGTGTTCATAATAAAATAATAATAAAGAGTTACACATTCGTCAACTTATAGTAGACTTTTTTAGTTTATTAATACAATTATCTCAATACAACAAGTATTTTTACAATGTTTTTACAATATTATAAAGTTGATTAATTTTATACTAGACTCATATTTAGTTCAAGGTAAAAGCTTAACTAAGTGATATATTTAACGTTATTTTAACTTTTAAAATAAAAAGTTTATTTAGTAAATACTTTAATGTTTGATATTTATTTTCTTTTATTAAAATTTATTTTAGCTACTACAGATATAGAAAAAATTCCTAAAACTATTATTTCTCGCATGCTTCCTTTCGCATAATAAGATATTTTTTTTAAAGAATCTTGATCAAATTTAACATTTTCTTTTATTAAAATTTATTTTAGCTACTACAGATATAGAAAAAATTCCTAAAACTATTATTTCTCGCATGCTTCCTTTCGCATAATAAGATATTTTTTTTAAAGAATCTTGATCAAATTTAACATTTTCTTTTATTAAAATTTCGAGATTTATGAAGAGACGACCTAATTGGCTAACTCTGTTTTATATCATCTTAATTTTTTACCTGTAAAATGTTAAATGAAAAACAATTYTTTATTTATAATTTTTAGTTTATAGATTTTGGAATGTTTTCTTAAACCGACTTATTGATGGTTCCTAAAATGAAAACTCTCAATCCCAGAATTATGTACTTTATCCGCCGGGTTATCTGAAAACCCCTCAACACATTGCAGCTGCGACAGAAAAATTGATCGAGCAAACTTTTTTTTTGTCTTTTTTCCCTCTCTCTTTCTCACTCTCTCTCTCTCTCTCTCTCTCTCTTTCTATCTTTTCCATTCCCTCATTCCTCCACATTTTAATTGATTTTTTTCAATTTTTTTAGGTGTAAAAATGCCTATTTTTTCAACAAAATAATTTTTTCCTGTACTCATAACTTGAATTTTATCTTTTTCAAATAAAATCCCATTTTTAATCCTTACTAAGGATACTACACCTAAGTAATTATCAAACCANAGGTTTTATGATTCGGTTCTTTTTTTTTCTCCTTTTTTTGTTCCTTTTATTTTTATTTTTCCCCCTCCTCTCACTCTCTCTCACTCTTTCACTCTGAGCGATTTCTCTTGTAACGAGAAAAAAAAGGGGTAGAAAAAAAACAGCAGACTGAAATATATATATACATACATACACACATCTACAAACGTGAATATATATATATATATATATATAGGTGATCCCGTTGAAAATTTACACCACAAAATGTTCAGTACGTCGGATAGCGGATGGGAGAAGCTTTTGGAAAAAGTCATATATAATTTTTTTTCTATTGCAAAAGGTTTTCCCTCTTGGATTTGAACTTTCAATGTTCATTCTGGATTTTGTGTGCAAGGCAKAATTAACGTAAAACAACAATTTTCCTAGAATTCGGTCCATTTTCAACATCATTATTTATAGGTATAACATATTTTTTTTGAATTTGTATTAGTTATATGTAAATATTTTATGAAAAAGTTTAAGATTAAATTCCAACGAAAAACATGCTGTCAAGAACTTATTATTAAATGAAATTTAAAAATAATAAAAAATGATGGTGGTTTTACCAAACAACCACTAACTATAATTTAATATTATCTTCATAAATATACCTATTATTTATCAACTAATTACTATACTGTATTAATGTTAATATTATAAATATGTAATTATTCTGTAAAGTGTAAAATGATTCTAATAAAATAATAAAACATATATTATTGATTTAAATCACAAAATATTAATTTGGCTACCTATTACTTCTAAGATGTTGCTGAGCCATAATAAAAACATATATGTTTTACTCATATACGAGTACCTACCTAGGTATGTTAAGTTTGAACAAATTGATTTATTGTTATTAAAATTACTWTACTATATTTTTCTCAAACATGTTTAAAATAAAAGCGACTTATTGAATAGTGAAATAAAAATTAATTGTATATTAATAATTCAAGTTGAACAGCTGGTAAATTTGATAACTCAAATGAGACGCTGTTGGAAATCTCTTTGGACGAATTGATATTTATTGTTTATAAATTGTCGTTAATAAACTAAAAACTAATATGTAAAATATATTTTGAGTGATGGGTATGTTTTAATTATTTTATACTTTTTATGTCAAACAACATGCATGGCACCTTGAGAAATATAATACAATGGTAAATATTGCATTTTATTTACACCTATATGTTATATTGATACGTATGTACAATGCATATGCATTTACTTATATATATGTATGTATATATTATAAGCATATACCTATGTTGAGGTACAAACCGAGGAACTACACACCGCACTAATCATAATAATAACAAAAGGAGTGACTGGTGTACAAAAAGGGTTAAATAATAATAATAATATACCCGGTGGCTCACCAACTGCTCCTACTGCTGTTTGGAACCTTATTCATTGTCATTCTCTTACGTGCATTCGAGAATATTATTATTAGTTTCATTAGAATTCGACCTACATGTATGTCTATCGAAGGATTACCATTAACTACCTACTGTTATAACTTATAATGACCCAACGACATTTGGTCAACGGGCCCAAAACAYTGTTTGTTAGTAATAATACATTTATAAATTCGACCCAGAATAATGWTCAATCAAGTTTATTAACGAAAGAATTATGATACACGAACATAATGTAATGATTTATGATGGTATACAAATTATACTAATACATCGGTACCTAATGTTTAGTTTTATGTTACAGAGTCAAAGTGAATTTGTTTATATATGTTTGTATGTATAGGTACATTTTATATATTAACTGTATTATTAATTTAAGAKTAGGTACTTACTTGGGTTGCTGACCCATTCGTGCAAAGCTTTCTGCAACCGTCTAACGTGTAATGGTTTTGAAGCCATACCGACCAGAGCCATTATTTCAAGAAATTCCTCTTCACCGGCGTCACAAAGCTGTTGCAAGTCATCACCTCCTGTTCGTTACGATGAGAATTTAGTAATATTATTTAATGATAACTTTAATTTCACAGTAAATGTATTAATACGTTCTGCTTATAATAATATATATTTTTAGCAAGGAGTAGCCTCAGTCCTTTTTCAGTCTCATATGTTTTCATAACACGCTAATTAGTAAAATCGATGCATTATAATATGATATAAATTAACTATATTATTATTTATTGGTATGTATAGCTTAAAAATGTTTAAATGAAWTTTAATATTTAAAAAAAACAAATTCTATGTGACACATATTATTTATCGKTTTTAAAAATATTTAGATAATAATTCACGAAGATAAATCATGAATACAAAATTTAAATTTATAACAAAAGATTATTATCTTTTCARGCTTGAAGATTTTATGTAGAATAAAGTGTCTTTGATTAAAAAATAAGTTTATAAAATCGAAAACATACGACAAACAGAACAGGTGCTAGCTATCTATTTATTTGTGTATAAAGAATGAATACAAACACATATTTATAATGATCGGATAATTAATTAATATAATAATACATTTTTATTTTATAATACCAGAAATAATCGTATTATTTTTTCATTATTTTTTTTTTTTTTTTAATATTCAATCTGTTTACAATAAGAAACAATAAGTAATAAGGATAACATAGAAAATATGCAAACATGAATAATACGAAGAAGAGACCATTCATTAACAGAACCTCAGAAATTTTTTTCATTAGCCATAAAATATATTTATTAATAACGAGTTAACGAGTTGGGCAAGARAAAATTCACAAGAAAACAAATCAGAGGTGAATTTTAACGATATTCAGTTATTTTATTAATTTATTTAAAATATTCAAAACGATAATTATTCTAACGAACTTAACTTATGCTAATAATACACTAGATTAATATTTAAATTTATTAAATATTTGTTAAATAAATGATAAATATACTTTAGAAGGTAATAGTATTTTTATGAAAAAATAAAAATAATAATAAGAAGAAAAATATAGTATAAATTATATTAATGGATTTTTTAAATTAAAAACAAAACATAATACCTACATTTTTATTTAGAACTTCATTATTATTTATATTTTTTAAGCATTATATTGTGTACATAATTTTAACCTTTTATTTAAGTCTGTTAGTAATTTCTGCTAGTGTGTAATGTAAAATAAAAATAAGTTCATAATTTCAAGTACATAGTTTACGTCTACTCCATTTATTAWACTTTGCATGGAATTGATTTATTTTTCGATGTACCACTTTCCTATAGGTAATATGTATTAATGTGTACGCCTTACCCATCTCGAGTAGTGTGTCGTAATACGCTAAAAGACTAGCTCTCTGCATTACCCTGTACAATTGCAATTCAGCTTCGTTACTAGGACTGGATGTCATGATCACTGCAAAACAATACAATTTTTACAATAAGTACCTATATAATAAATATTTTAAAAAAAAAATTATAAACATTTAAATTAAGGTTCAGTTTATTAAAGGTGTTATAATTTTAATATAATTAACACGCGCGCGAGGATTAATATTTTTAACCTTTTACAGTATGCCTTACCTAACCTTTACACGATTTTTTTTTCATTTGGCCGGTAGCAGGGGCGTTGAAAATGTTATTATTATATTGTTATAATATATAGTGTAGGTAATAGGTATACYAGTGGTAGCGTTTAGAATTCAGGTCACCGATAATAAATGTGTGCTGCTCTTCTCTACCCCTCACTACTTCGTTGTTGAAGGGTAGTGTTTTTATTTTATAATATTTAATATATATAACGTTTTTCCTTCATTCTTGCAACCAATATTTTACATTTTGTGACTTTGTATAGGAGTTTCCTTCTTTCATTAAATATGGGTAGTATATACTAGTATAATAGCCCCTGCAACCCCTCTATCTATGTATTCGGAACGCCGAACGGCTGAATTACATATTATGTACATATGATATGTGAAGAGAATTTATGTCTTAAAGCTCTATCTGCCTTGTTGCTGWGAAGAAGAAATAGATGTTTTTTTCTCTATCCTGTGGTATTATTATATTGAATTGGCGTCACATTGTCGTTGCAGTTGCATTGAGAACTGCAGTTAGCGGCGCCACATTGACTATACGTTGTGATCTGTCGAGAAAAACTTTATGATTTTTGTGGTTCCGATTAAAATAAATTGACAAACTGTTCATACATTATATAGCTTATACATAATTATATACAGTGAATAATTTGTACAGTCCATGCGAACACTATTGGAGTTTTCTGAACTTTAATTATTATATTCGCATACTATAGTTTGTTACAGATAGAAAACGATAATTATTCAATAACTATCGTGTGATATGGACATAAACCTATGGGCTATAAGCCCTTTCGAACGAATGTATATATGTATGTATATTTTATTATTCAGTGTTCACTGGTTAAATTCAATTAATGAATATATATTGTATATAGTAATAAAATGCTTCGGATTAAAAAAAATACTCATACTAATATTCATAAATACTCATCTTAAATAATAAATTATTCTTATTTCTCAACAAATCAAAATAATTGTTACTTAGTGTAAATAGTGTAATAGCAACAATTATTCCTTAATCCCATGCAGTTGTACTCGTATACTTATATATAAATACGAATAACTGACTGTGCTGTATTATATTACTATAGTAATGGTGGTCGTCTAATATTATTTATTCTTATTATTATTATTATTATTTTTTTTTCGTTAAAGGGTTCTTGGTCAGAAAAACATTTTAGGTGGGGGTACCTTCTGTTTTTTAACCAGAAGTACTGTTGTATACCACCGTGGTCCGTGTTGTTCTAACGACTTCCTGAGCTATAAAGTGACCCGGGGCCGTCTAGTCCGTTGTAATTATTGCACAAGCTCAATGTACACATCGGACAGCAGCTGAGGGTTGAACTCGTTTTCAAGGCTACCAGCACTACGGGGTGTCCATTATTATAGGTAGTAACAATAAAAAAAWTTATTAATAATAAGAACGAGAAATAAAACAACGTAGGTCAATAATATTGACCTTTAATAATATATTAACTATTAAGGACATAATATCACGTATATTGTAAGTATATATTATAGATGATTATTATCAAGCATCGATAAGTTTTATTGGTTATCAATATACGACGTTTATTGTGAATTATTATTTTCTAATATGATATTTTATTTATCAAATATTTGTTTTTGGCACAWAGATCATATATAGAAAAATAATATTTTGATGTATGATGAAACATATTATACGCAGTTATATCAATATTTTATTAATTTTGATATTTTATATAACCCCCGCAGACCAAAATTAATTTGGTTTTTATTTTTATTTTCATAATACAACAAATTTATTAATATGCTTTTAATATTAGAACATTATTTTATTTAGTATAATCAAATATCAATCAATTAAAAACAAATAATTTAAAAAATATATCAAATCAGATCCATATTACGCTATATTTTAACTATGTGCAACAACAATAGACTTTTGAATACTATTGAATTTCGAATATGATCTACATTTTAGAAGTGAATAAAATAAAATATACATGTTAGGTATACTATAAAAATGTTACGCGCGACGTGTTTTTTTTTTTTTACATAGGTATGTCATAGATGCGTTGACTGGGATTTAAATAAAGAACAGAATCATCGAAGAAATCGGTTTGAATGCTTAACAGCAGATGTGGCCCGTACAATGCACGTAACAGWAAGTAGAAAAAAATTATGTGAAAAAAAATTGAACCAGAATCTTCTAGTAGATAAAAAAAATATGGTATATATTATATATGTGTACACATCAATTAGGGCCCGTCCATCTGTCTTTGGGTAGTCCATCTATGTAAATGAACCTTTTGTACAGCCCCAGGGTCAAATATGGGTATGATTTGTTAACTGATCAAACACACATATATAATATTATTTATAGTATATAATGTGCTGTACGTATATATGGACGTTGTGGGAGATATGAGGTCAACGATCTGGTTAAAATAACAAAACACCTTTTCATGTCGTGTAGCTGATCATATTTTGATAAGAGTCGTATTATAATGGTGTCTAATGTTTTTTTTTTTTTTAAAGGTATGATGCATGGGATTTACGAGACCTTGGATAGTTGAATAAATTGTCAATAACAAGKTTGTAATAAGTGATAAACAAATTTTAAACCAAATTTAATCATATTTCATGAAATCATGACCAAAAACCTGCATTTGTAGGTATAGGTTAGGGTCTATATATATGTGATCTTAGGATAAAATGACTATGCTTGAATGAGGACAACTCAAAACATATTTTTTGATTGATAAATAATATTTTGGATTAAAAACTTTGAAAATATATACAATTATTCATGAAATATTTTTCWGACTTTTAAAAGTTTTCACATTCAAATGTTTTATTTTTTTATTTTTCTGTAAACAAAAATATTAATAATTTTTAATTTTATATAAATATAAAGCTATGTTATTTAGTTTGAATAAATATTTTTAAATAATATTAGATCTTCGTAGTATAAACTAATTATAAAATGTATTTTAAATCTGAACTTAATTAATTATTATTATAATTATATTTGATTGAAAATCATATTTTTTATAAGATACCATATAATTTAACATACAATGTCATAAAACATTAGTTTAACTGCTATTGGCTACTCTATTAAGTAAATTGAAAACTAATAATATCAAATATTTATATATTTTTATTACCTATTATAAAAACAACCTATATTATAATAGTTTTTAATTTTACATTTTTAAACTGTATAAATGAACAAACAGGAATTTTGATTATTATCATTAAACAWTTATTGGTTGTATTTGATAGGTTAATTAATTAATTGAATTAATTTTGTTGAAACGATTTTCAGCTAAAAGATAAAATTTATTTTACATCATTGTTTAGAATATTAATTAAAAATGGTTTATAATTGTAAACAGTTTTATATGTAAAAAAACATAATCGACTTAAATGTTATCTAATACTTTTACTTACTTATAGTTTGTATACAAACTATAATGTTTGTGCTAATTAGAAAAACTATATTAAAAATTTCTCATGGTTTTAAATTCACAAGAAGTTGAAATAATAAACATATATTTTTCGAGGTAGAAAAAATGAAAATATTATGTTCAGTGTTTTAACAGATATATCTAAGAAAAATGTAAAATTTTAAGTAATTTGAAATTGTTCAGACATTATAAATTATATTCCACGTGGACAAAATTAGGTTCAACTTCTAACTTCAATGTTTTTTTTTTATTATTCTAAAACTTCTTTGAGTTTCATGCTGATGACGACCGAAAGAAAAAAATGGACAACAAAAAAAAAAAATTATAAAAAACACCAGAGAATGTGAACCCTTCAGGCAGAACCGGTGGTTCTTTTTGTTTTGTTTCGTTGTTTTCTTTTTTTAGAACCGAGGCCATTAACATTATTTTTTTTTGTCTTTTTAAAGTCCGAGAATGTCTTTATGCATGGGAAACATTAAAAAAAAAAAAACAGTACCGTAGACTGAACATAAAAAAATAATCAATACACCTAGAGTTCTAAGAATAAAAAAAATTGATAAAATGAAATGGGGTCTGGGTGCCTTGTGCGGTATATATACTGTTGAATCATAATGAGTTTTAATAAATTGGTTCCAGCTGTTTTAATGATTATAGGATATTTTTCACCAGAGTAAAATGATGATATTAAAGTTGAAACTTCCATGGTAAAAATAGTGTAAATTATTTATTATAATAACCACAGCCCGCAATATCGTATAAATAGGTATTTAACTATATGCCTACATGAAATTGCTATTAATTGAAAGTAATAACAATAATTAAAAAATAATTGTATTTATAGTAAGAGAAAATATTTTTAATATAACATTATCACGGAACATACATTTGAAATATTGTTTATTTTTAACGTGATTTATTAATTATTAATTATATAGGTAACGAAAATGGTATAAATTATATTCAATATAAAAAATAAATACTTTATCTTTACTCTAGATACCGATTTAAAGTTTTCCCTCTTAATATTAATATCTATTATCTGACTTATCCAGTAATAATTAGTAAATAATTAGAGATGATTCTTAAATTGTCAAACTAAATAAGAACCAGGACAAAATAATTGAAGATTTATCTAACGAAGAATAAATTAAAATATCTAATTTATTGCTTAAACAATATTGAAACGGTTAAGCGATGATATAGAAAATAGTCGAGATAATATTTTCTTTTTTTYGGAATGTCTTTATCGGTTGAACAAAAAGTTTATAAATTATTAAGTAATAGATTGAAAAAAAATTGAATTGTATAAGTTTTTGAAAGTATGGCTACAGTCAAATACTTGATAGATAAAAATACTTTGA